ACTAGAATTTGCTAAAAGACTTCATAGGGCTGGAACTTTTGCTAAAAAACATTTAACAAATTGGCAGTACTATATTTTATATTTTTTACCGACAAACCATATAAAAGGACATATCGTCCAACATTTTCACTAATATATCAGCCATGTAAGGGATATATCACCAAAAAATTACAAAAAGAGGTAAATGATATTGTAACCAAATCGTTTTGCGGCAAGCCTTGTAAAAAAATATATCAGCTACATCAGAGATACTTAAAACAATACGAAAAATACATATTTTAATATTATATCCACATCCAAATCTGTCCAGATGGAATTTATATCTCGATATGGACCAGAATATTCGGATTTCTGCATACCTAGATGCATCCCTAAATACATAACTTGCAAATTCACACAATACATAGGGAAATATATACATCTTAGCATGTATCTCTTGGGCTTTTCTATATGATGACAATTTGTATATCTCAGAGCACAGTGCATATGGTACAAAATACCTTATGATAAGTTGACACGAATTGTAAATGGATTTCAAACCGATATAGAAGGATCTTTTTGCATATCTAACAAGTCAGCAATTATCAGGAAAATCTAGGATAGTCATCATATGATACAATACTAAAATCTGTACATATTTTTTGTACACATCTGTTAGGTTAATTCACGTTGCAATAGTTTTTATATCATTCGATATGCTGCACATCTCATGAGACAAGATACCATCAAGTTGACTCAAATTGTAAATGGATACCGTATGGAGTTAAAAGGACCTTTTAGGTTTCAAGTTTTCAGGTTTGCAATGGGTCGCAAACATATGCAAACCAATTATCCTGCCAATAATTTTTCCTCTACTCTTTGTCGAGAATAAAACCAATCTCAAAATATCAGAACAAATATAATTGTGACAAACTATGTGAAATTGACATTATGGTGATGAATTGATGATTAGACACATTCCAACGTAGAAACTTTAAAAGTGGATATAAAATAAATTTATTCCAGGGGTACAACTGATGGATTTCCATGAACTGTTGTATATTGGGTTTCAACTCATCTATGTGCTTCTTCCTCAATCCACCAACACCATCCGCACTCATACTAAAATACAACATCTTCTGTGCTCATAATAAATTAAAACAGCAGCAACAATATTTGTATTAACATTCATGAGATTTTAATGCCCATAAATCCTTTTCTACAATTCAATTCTGCTTGCTCAAGTCAGTATTTGTTGGACATATTAACTTAAAACACCTATGTCCCTGCCAACCTATAATTTGTTCAGCCTTTTTTATATTTAAATAATGAGCCCCTTAACGACCACAATCATTCTTTCAAAGTCAAACATTGAAAAGATGGATTGAATTGTAAAGCCGAGAACTGAAGTGTGGTCTAAATATTCATTTCTAAAAACTGTACCTCGGACATATTCTTCAAGCCACAAGAAAATTCAGATTATAAGTTCTAGAGACAACTGAGGTTTAAACAATAATGTGATTTTTATCAGGAGATATGGACAAAGAAGTCTTTTACAATTTGTTTGATTAAATCAATCGAAGATCCACAGGCATACCAATATAATTGTCCTCCTTAGAAGATGGAAATAAGATCTTCACTCCAGTCTCTTCTTCAATTTGTTTCTGTGTACATCCCCTATAACCAGAATGAGAATAAGTTACGAGAGAGTTTAAACTTATTACACTTATAAGACATAAATCATAGCATTAGATGTATATTCCCATATTATAAATTAGAGGGTAAATAATATTCTCATATACAAAAGGGAAGATCATGTTAAAGTCATACCCTTTTCCTTTTATGAAACGAATTAAAGAAGCATCTACCTGCAGAAAGAAAATAGCCACACCAAGTATTTATAAGTGCAATCACTCAGGTTTTCTTAATATACTGTCAATGAAGAAACACATAACCATTACAATAAATCTAAGGTAGAAAAACTGATGCATTATGAGGACTGTACATGAGCATAACCAAGTAGATAAAAAACGAGCAGAGATCAGAGTACGTCTGGTAACAGTCAACTTCTAAATCCTTAACAATATATACACTTATAACCCTACCTGATGATCCTAGACCACTGATTCATGATTCTATTCATTATAATTTTTAGACATTTTTGTCACTCAGATAATTGAGAAAAAGGTTTTGTTGTTGTCGTATCTCACTCAGACAATTATTCTCATCAACTCCAACTTTTTTTTAGTACATTATTTTGCATGTCTTGACTCTTGATACAAGGATGCAAAACTCCTATTATAAGTACATATCCAAGGAGAAATGTGCCTAAGTTTTTACTTTTTTGTGCACTTGAAAAGATCCAAGTTAGGTTACCCGGACACTTCACTTTTGGATGTGGTATCTATGTCCAACATGTGCCGGGCACGGATTTGCAGCAAACACCCCATGGACACGTGTGGTTCAAAGCTATGATTTAAAAAAAAACTCTGTACAAATTGTGATTTTTTATTTGAGCTGTGATTATTTTTAAGTTTTCTATTTAATTTTATTTAAGCTGTGATTTATTTTTTATTTTTTATTTTTTGTTTCGGACGGATTTGCAGCAAACACCCCATGGACACGTGTGGTTCAAAGCTATGATTTAAAAAAAAACTCTGTACAAATTGTGATTTTTTATTTGAGCTGTGATTATTTTTAAGTTTTCTATTTAATTTTATTTAAGCTGTGATTTATTTTTTATTTTTTATTTTTTGTTCTACAACCTCTACCTGTTGATAAGCCCCTGAGACTGATGTATGCTCATTCCTCTCAGACAAATTCTCCATTTTGCAAGAAACTGTGGATTGTTTTTCCACAAAACTTGTAGATTGATTGTCATAACTTGCAGAATTCGAACTCGATGATGATACTGTACCAGATCCTGGTACATCTTTGATATCAAAAACATAAAAAGAAACACAATGATGCACTTCATGGAATTAATATCTACCATCAAATTCTTAAATGCAATCAACTGCTCGGTATGAATGGTTAGAATTTGTTCTAAACTTTTTGACAAAGCATCATGCCACTTTGATTACAAATGATCTAACAGATGCCATAATATCAAAATGCAAAGCAAAGTACTTGTTGATGGGAATTCCTCGTTTTTGAAACAGATCATAACATTTAAGCAGCTAGTCAAGTAAGAAACAGCTGCATACATTATCACACTACTCAATGTTTTGTAGGATTGCCAGAGTTTTCAAGCTATAGACTTCAAAACTGACTATTGGACTGAACAGTCTAACTAAACTGCTCATTTGCACAGGTTTAAGACAATAAACACACTAGAATACTGATGCACCTTACACAGAGAATTCCCTAAAACTCAATGTTTATAAAAAGCGGAAGTGCAAGGTGAAGCGTTACATCCTTTAATGAAGCGAAGCGTAAGCCTCATGAGTTTAAATATTTTAATTTTAAAGCTCGTAAAAAGTATGAACACATAACGTATAGTGGTATGATAATTTACAAATAAATACATTCATGTCCTGATTAGTAAATAAGAATTAAATATGTGAAGTATAGATGCAAATTATAATAAACTAATAGGCATACATAACTTATTTATCTTATTTACGCTCACATGGTCATATTGAAGATACATAGGAGCATTCTCATGTTAGTTAAAAATACTTTTATATCCAATCCTGTCTAAGCGTGTGCTTCAAAAGAGAAGCGCTTCACGAAGCGTGAAGTGCACACTTCGGTTATGCTTTAAGTGATGAAGCGTAAGCTTCAAGGGATAAATAGCTTCTCCTGAGTTTCGAAGTATTTACCCTTCAAAAAGTTATGAAGCGAGTTTCAAAGCGAGTTTCAAAAAAGCTTTTTCAAACATTGCTAAAACTAATGCTGAAAATAAAAGAATCAGAAAGGATTAATCCTTGGGGACATCTACCATTATAACTCAACAATAAAGGGCATTATCTCAAACATAATTCATACTAAAGGGAAACCAGACAAGTCAGTTACATGTTTAACATTAACCCATTACGAATTCGTTTGTACAAACAGTCTGAATAATAACCAAGGAATCCAATAGCAGTAGGTGTTTTCAGCGAAAGTCATTTCCATTGTCGATTCCATTAAAACTTCAGTCGTTTACAGAAAATTACAATGAAAATAAGCAAAAAAATACAACTCTCGAGAAAATAACACAGAAATTGTTTATCAACTCCTGCTTTTGTGGGACTTTGCCTGTGCCGGGAGTGCTTTGGCTCGTGGACCACCGATTCACAGATCGTGAGGGGGTTTAAAGATCTTTCCTTCGTTTATCGAAGTAAGAATGAAAGTCAGCGAATATCTTATCGATGTAAGATGTTCACTCTTCCAAAGATCAAGTCTGAGCTTAGATCTTTAGGAATCACCAAACGTTGTTTATGAAAGGTGAAAATTCTCTCTCTTTTCCTCAAGATTATCGAAAGCCCAAGTCTTTATGCTCCAATCTGCTCTCTGTCCTTTATTTCGTGTCTAGGGAGGTATTTATAGGGGTAAGAGTGCATAACAGTGAAAACGAGGGCGAGATAACTGACCAAACGACTGTTCTTTGGCCGCGCCAGTCCATGCTGCCGCGGCTATTGGCGCGGCAGTATGGCCTGCCGCGGCCAAAGGAGCGGTTACCATCACGTTTCATTGTGCCTGAAATTGTTCTCCCACGACCTTTAACCACTTTTTTCATAGTTTAACTGCTTGTCCACGTCAGCACACGTTCTATTTCTGATATGCCTCCACGTGGGCTTCAAAAAATCATCGTATAACTGCCTTGTAGCCGCCGCAGCACCCCTTGTAATAGCCGCGCCACCAGAGACTGTCGCGTCTTAGCCGCGGCACCATAGGCATGGGTTGCCGCGCCTTAGCCGCGGCACCATGGGCTACCGCGCCTTAGCCGCGGCACCATGTACTACCGCGCCTTAGCCGTGCCGCCATGTACTGCCTGTTGGTGTGTACATTGTTCTTCCATGTTGTCTCACTTCTTTTGAATGATCCCCTCTGATTAAGAGAATGACGTTTATCGTCTTCTCTTTGTCTTGAGTAGTATTTGGATGTCCGTAAGCATTTTTTAACGCCTACAGATACCCCCTCCAAAGTATCTCAGACTCATCATTTTTTAGAGAGGGATCTTGAACACTTTGGATATGATAAGCTTTCCTTGCAATTTCTCCAGTGTTTTGTTGAGGAAGTTGCGTAGAATGGTCTGTGAATGGCTTCAATTCTTGACTTCTTCATCTTTTAGTCTATTCAGTACTTTATAGAATAGCTAAGATTCCTCCGGTGCTGTGTTTATCGCGTGGCCGTTGTCGAAATCTTGAATTAGAACTGCCGTTGAAGAATAGAGAAATAGTTTATACTCATATACTATATTGGAGTGTTCGGGAAATAGTTTAACCTCATATACCCGTTGGGAAGTGTTTTTGTTGAAATATTAATAGGTCTAGGGGCTTATTTGTAAGTTGTAGGGGCCTATATAAGCCCATGTTATCTCATGAATAAGATTAGGGTTTCTATTCCAATTTGGTATCAGAGCACAAAAACCCTAGCCGTCAAAACCACACCTCCCCACCCTCCAGCCTGTTCCGGCCCAGTTCCGCGCCCCCAGGAAACCGCCCTGTCCCGCCCGTCAGAATCACCGTCTGCCCCGCAGAACCCCCTGTTCGCCCGCCCAGAACCCACCCCTTTCGCGCGCCCTTTTTCAGCCTGAGATATCCCCCCCAGGCACACTCCTGCTCTCCGTAGCTACCTGCAGATCCCTGCAGACCCCCCTCCCCCCATTGACCTTTTGCAAAGAAAACCACCAACCCCCCCCCCTTTCAGCTGCAGACGCGAGAGACCCCCCCCCTTCCGCCTCCCCACCCACAGTCCTCTCTCTCAGACCCCGAACGCCTCCCATCACCGCTTGACGCGAACTGCGCGCCCTACATTCACCGTGTCGGAAGCCTTCGAGGTTTGACATGGATTCCCTCGACTCAGTCCTCGAACTGATGACAGGAAGAGTATATATCTCACGGCGATGAGATATATCACTGTTTTGGTTCTTGTTTCCTCTGAGAAACGAGAATTGGTTTGAGATCCTACTCTTGTTGTGCAGCAGAGGTGCTGCCGAAATTTTTACTGCGCACAAGGGTCGGAAGAGAAGGTGAACAGGTGGTGGGTCTGAAGCCTATTCGATGGAGGAGATCATTAAGAAGTTGAACCCCGCGGAGGTATCAACTTTGATGAAGCTAATGAAGTTGTCGGCTGGTGAGAGTGCGACAAAACCATCAAAGAAGTTGGAGCTTCCGACCGTCGATCTGAAGCTTGATGGACCGAGTACTTATCTGAGCTGGTCGCGGCGGGTGAGATACATCCTTGCAGGGAGGAACCTGGAGGGTTACTTGACAGGAGAGGCGACAGAACCGGAGGAGGACTCGGAGGGAAGAGATGAGTGGAAGTCCACTCATATGTTGGTGTACATCTGGCTTCTCAACTCGTTGGTCCCGACGATCGCTGCCACGGTGGATGGTATTGAGAAGGTGAAGGACGTCTGGGAGAAGTTGAGGAGGACATATGATGGAGTGGGGAATAACCTGAGGGTATTCCAGATTAAAGGAGAAATCGACGCCACAGTCCAGGGAGAAAGGACCTGTGGCTGGATTATGATCATTTTTCTCCCCGGGCTAGCTGCAAGGACCCGGGATGTAAAGAGCGGGGGGCCTTTCTACAAGAGAGGACTATGGTATTTCTTAAAGGATTAACATCAGAGTTCGCTCAGCGAATCGCATTACTGCTAGCTCAGCCGAAGATTCCCTCGCTTGAGGAGGCTGTTTCTGCTATGATTCAGGAGGAGACTCGCATTCGGCTGCAGGGGGGACAGGTGGACTTCCTGTGGTGAAGTCAGCACTGGCAGCCTCTAGCAACACTGGATCTAGGGGAGAGACCCGACAGTGTTACAACTGCGGTGCGGTGGGTCATCTAAGGCATGCTTGCACCAAACCATCAAAGGAAGGAGATTCGGGTGGACGTGGACAGTTCGGAGGTCGTGGTCATAGCCGTGGGGGTCGACGAGGTGGAAGAGGAGCAGGAAATCGGGCGAATCTGACGGTAGCAGAAGAAGAAGAAGCTGAGGTGGTCTTTACAGAGGAGGATCGTGCTCTCCTGACGATACTCAGAAAAAAACAGCAAGTAGCAGGAGATGGAAACTTGAAGAGTGGGACTGAGGAGGCATCCACTTCGCTCTTCGCCAGAGGCAACGCTGCTACCTATGCTCATCCGACCAAAGGTACTGATGACATACATGTTCTTGCTTCTATGTCTCCCAACAGATCATCAGAGTGGATAGTCGACTCCGGTGCGTCTCGTCATGTGACAGGTAATGCTAGTGAGTTCTCATCATATACTCACTTAGCATCGCCTGATAGTATTCAAACAGCTGATGGTACATTTCAGCCGGTGGTTGGTAAGGGTACAGTCGATTGTACTGGTTCTATAACTTTGTCCAATGTGTTGCATGCTCCTTCCTTTCCAGTCAATCTTTTATCCATTAGTTCTATCATCCTCCAACTAAAATGTATTGTTTCTTTTGATATTCCCAAGGTGATCTTTCAGGAGAAGGGGACAGGACGGAGACTTGGGACTGGCACATGGCGTAATGGACTGTGGTATCTGGATCGTGAAGGGCTAGATTCAGCTTTGGTGTCAATGGTAGAGAGAGCAGGAGTAGGATCTGAGATGAGTACTGAGAGTGTGTTGATACTTCATCACAAACGCTTGAGACATACTTCTTTCGGTGTTTTAAGTAGGTTGTATCCATCTTTATTTGAGAAAGTAAATAAAGAGAAACTTGTGTGTGATGCATGTAAGTTGGGAAGGCTTACTAGAAGCTCTTATGTTAGTTCTGATCATAGGAGTTCTCATGCATTTGATATGATACATTCAGATGTGTGGGGGCTATGTTCCACAAGTTCTATGAATGGATACAAGTATTTTGTTACCTTCATTGATTGCTTCTCTCGCGTTACTTGGTTATACCTGATGAAGAATAAGAGTGAAGTGTTTGGCTGCTTTCAAAACTTTCATAGGAATGTTCAGACTCAATATGGAGCAGTGGTGAAGGTATTGAGATCTGATAATGGGACAGAGTACACCAACAGAGTGTTTGAAGAATACTTGTCATCTCAGGGAATACAA